TCCCCCCCCCCCCCCCTCTCTCTCTCTCTCTCTCTCTCTCTCTCTCTCTCTCTCTCTCTCTCTCTCTCTCTCTCTCTCTCTCTCGGCAGGAACTCACTGTATAAATCAGGCCGTCCTCGAATTCATGGGGATCTGTCTGCCTGTGCCTTCCCAGTTGTGGACGAAAGGTCTTTGTAACTGTGGAGTCAGTTTATAGTTACGTAATTGTGGATTTTGTACAGCACCGGAACCAATAAGATACACAGAATGACTTGCCCCATCACACCGGCACCTTTTTTGTAGTGGTGTGGGAACTCACTTCTGTGTGAAAGGGCATAATCGATGATAAGACTGATAGGCATAAAAGCGTATTTTGATAGTTTACATTGGGAGAGATTGAAAATATTGAATTGACCACTTTTCACTGCAGGTGACTAGTATGCAGATACTCACACCCTGACTTGTCTGCCAGACTACTGACATGGCCCACCGGGGTGGGGAGAGGGACTTCCAGACTTCAGCTCGGCGGATGGGTACCTCCCTGCTCTTCCAACTTTCAGTGCATGAGCGGGAGCTGGACCTCGTTTTTTTGGATCATAGCTATGCTAAACCATGGAGTGCCCACCCAGATGCCAGTAGTGCCCGCCCCACCCGCATGCTCTTTGTAACTCCCCGTCGGCAGCAGGAGAATACTATGTGAGTTTGAGAATACCATGTGAGTTTGGGTTTCCTTCTTAAGGGCTACTTCTGCCTAACCTTGGCAGTGATCATATGGTGGGGATTAGAGAAGTGTTCTTGGGAGTGATTGGGGTTCGGGGGTGACTGGAGAACTTGGTTGAGCAGCCTAAGCATATCAGGGCAAGTGTGGACATCTTCACAGACATCTGCAGATGGGAATTAGAAAAGCAAGATATCCAAATGAAAACACAGCCTAGTCCACTTAGATAAGTGTAATAGAGCTTGTGTGGAAAGAGAAAACTGAAGAATTTCCTTGTCACTTTACTGCAGCATCTGATTTGCTTGACAGTGGCTACAATATATCATTCCCTTTCCCTGGCTTCAGTGCACAAATCACAGATTCGGAGGGAGTTCCCAAAACATTGCTTTCATTCTTACCTCCTTACAGAAAGCCACCTGTGGGTTAATCTAAACCCTCCTAAGTCTCATTATATTTCCAGCCACCTTACGTTAGAGGGTAAGAAAATTTCAAAACTTTACTATCTGATAAGTGATTTGGTTACATCTGACCTAACTAATTAGTCAATTATTTTGAACCTTCTGATTTCACCCATTTCCGGATTTGTTGAAATGCTCTAGACTGGTCATTACAAATGTTTGGATAAGAGATTTTGTGTTTGTTTTTTTTTTTTTTTTTTGTTTTGACTTAATGTTTAATCTTTTCTCAAGCACAGTTTTTTTTTTTTTTTTTTTTTTGTAGGGGTAGTGGGTTCTCTCTCTCTACACACACACACACACACACACACACCCCTTTGAGTATTGATGAGTTAGAGGGACCATTATGTGTTTTTAAGCAAGTGTAGAATGTTGGATGTTTTTATTGGTTTGTTGTATTTTTGAAATTGGGTTTGTTTACACACATACACACCAGTCCCTTCCCCTCCCCAAACAGTAGTACAGCTAAAGATGATTTTTAACTCTTGATCTTCTTGCCTGCACCTCTCAGGAGCTAGGATAATAGGTATATGCTGCCTTGATGAGTTTGTGTATTTTCTTTTGGGGCAGGGTATTTACTCTGTATCCCTGGCTAACCTGGGACTTGCTGTGTAGCTTAGGGTGGTAGCTTATTCTTGATCTTCCTGTTTCTGCCTCCCAAGCTTTAGGATTGCAGCCATAGGTATGGCTTAGAAGAGTGGTTTGTTTGAAATAGCCTTGGCTATCCTGGAACTCTATGTAGACTAGGCTGGCTCACAGAGATCCACGAGCCTCTGCCTCCCAAAAACTAGCATTAAAGTACTGTACCAATACCCAGCTCAGAAGACTGGTGTTTTTGTTTTGTTTTTATTTACTAACGATAGTAACATTTTGTTGACTTGCAGTTTGCTGAGGGTCAATGAGCCATGACTTAGAGGAACATTCTAACATAATCCTGATGCCTCTGGCCTGGGGCATAACTGAAAGTTTCCTTTACATAGAATTTGAAATTTTATTTTTTATTGTGTAAAACTTCTTATATGAAAATTCATGTATTTTTATCTCATGGAATTTTCTTAAAATGAAGATCAATGAGTGAGGAACTGAGTTACTTTATTGGAAGATTTATTTTGTTTTTAATTGCGTTTATGAGTGGGTATGTGCATTGAGTGCCTGTGTCCTCAGAGGTCAGAGGTATCAGATCCCCTTGGAGCTGGAGTTGCAGGCAGTTGTGAGTCTTCCCATGTGGGTGCTGAGAATCAAGCCTGGATTCTCTTCAAGAGCAGCAAGCACTTAACTGCTGACCAATCTCTCCAGCCCTGAGGAATGGATTTTCTTTTTCCTCCCCAAGTCAGGGTTTCTCTGTGTAGCCTTGGCTGTTCTGGAACTCACTTTGTAGACCAGGCTAACCTCGAACTCAGAGATACCTGTCTCTGTTCCCCTAGTTCTGGGATTAAAGGTGGCACCACTGTGCTGGGCAAGGGATGAATTTTTAATCCTATTTCATTTTATAAGTTTAAGTAGCCACATGTAGCTTATAGCTTCTGCCTTTGGACAAATATGTATTGTCTCCTGTGTGTGTGTGTGTGTGTGTGTGTGTGTGTGTGTGTGTATCTGTTAGTTTTTGTATAGCTGCATTTTAAAAAGACTTTGGAGCCAGGTGTGGTGGCTCATGCCTATAATCCCAGCACTTGGGGAGGCCAGAGCAAGAGGAGTGTCAAGAGGTTAAGGCTATGTAGGAGCTGGAGAGAGATGGATCATCAGTTAAGATCATGTACTACTTTTGCAGAGTACCCATGTCAAATGTCTCTGGCCTCTAGACATGAGCTCACATGCACGTACCCACTTACATACATACACAAAAATTGTTTTAAAATATCTTAAGTAAAACAACAACCAAGTTCAAGGCTAGCCTGGGCAGCATAGTCAATTCCAGGCCAGTGTGAAACTGCTTCAAAAGAAAAACCAGAGTTAATAAAGGACCTTGCTTTTCCCAAGCACCTACCAGGGAGAGAAGAGAGCTAGATGAGAATGTTCAATAGACATGCATTTTTTTAATTTGGCAGCCAGATGATTATTAAACACTTGTGTTGTGTGAAGTGTGTATGGCTTGGTCCTATTTCCTCACCTATTTACAGCGAATCAGACGTTCCAATAGATGTGGAGACAGTCACGTCGACTCCTGTACCACTCTATGACAATCAGAAGGCACGGAGTGTGATGAATGAGTGTGAGCGGCATGTTATCTTCGCCAGGACAGATGCAGATGCTCCTCCTCCACCAGAAGACTGGGAAGAACATGTCAACAGGTAGGCCATTCCTTGACAAAATTTGTCACTTTGGGGTTAATGGTTAGTACCTTGTAATTCTTTGATAGCATCTTTGTTGAAACATTTACTGGAGCTTATTTCATTTGTAGCTGTGGAAATAGGGATGTTCTCGTCATTCTGCATTGTATCTCAGCTCACTGCTGTGAACCTCTTGGCAACAGAGGTTGCATCTCAGCTGTCTTACTGACTGTCCCTAACTCTGGCACAATGACTGGTATACATAGTGACAGATGTCTGTAGTTGCAGCATCTTGGAAGGCTTAGGTAGGAGGAGGACTTGCACTTAAGAATTTAAGACATACCTGGACAGCATAGTGAAACCTTAATCTTTGTATAGGAAGTAGGGGTTGGAGATGTAGCACAGTGGTAATGCATTTTTCTTGGCATGTATGAGGCCCCAGCACTACAGAACCATACAATTTGCGTGTCGGGTATAAGTATGACTAGCTCTGTAGGTTATTCGATGTAAGAGCCAACCAAACTACCTAAAAAACTAAATTTATGTTTGTAAGGTTTGCATGTACATGGTCTACAGTTAGAGTAATAAATGTTTTGGGGTCATGTGTAAAGCTAATATGCTTGAATTGGGGATAATTTAATTTTAAAAATGGTGAGAGGGCCTAGAGAGATGGTTCAGAGGTTAACCGCTCTTCAGAGGGCCATGTGTTGGACATCTCACAACTCCCTGTAATTCCAGCTCCAAGGGGATGCCTCTGGCCTGCTTGGGGAACCTGCGTGCACATGTATATACGTATATGTGTGTACATACACACACAAATAATATATATACGACTTTAAAAAATATGGGGACAAATGTATAATTTGAATTGAAGGGCTTTTTCAAAATCAGTTAGCCCTTGATTATGATTAGAGAGGTTTGGGAGCTACTCATGTTTATTAAAGTCATTAGACTTAATAGTATATAGTAATGCCATTTCTTTAGTCATTCCTTCTTTTAAAAGATTCATTTTATATTAATGCATATTTGTTTATGAGTGTAGGCCACGTGTGGTGGGTACCCTTAGAAGCCAGAAAAGAGATTATTTGATCCCCTGGAGTTAGAGGTACTTGTGAGTTGTCTGGTGTGAATGCTGGGAACTGAACTCTAGTCCTCTGAAGAGCAGCAGGTGCTCACAGCTGTTCAGCCCTCTTTATTGATTTTTTGAGACAGGTTCTCTGGTGTAATGTAGGCTGACCTCAGACTCCCTATGTAGCTAGGGTTGACTGAACTTCTGATCCTTGTGCTCCTGCCTTCCATATGATGGGATTATGGGTGTGTCACCCCCATGTTTTGCCTTTATTTACTTTTATGCATGGCTTTCTGTGAAAGCCAAGGCTGGCCACACACAGTATAAGCATGTGCCACCATGCATGGTCACTTGGTTCTTAATTTATAAGGAAAGATAAAGCTGCAAAGCAGAGCTGGGTGGTGGTGGTGCTCACCTTTTTCCCAGCACTTGGGAGGCAGAAGCAGGAGTCTCAGTGAAGCCAGCCTGGTCTACAAAGCAAGTTCCAGGACAGCCAGGACTGTTAAACAAAGAAACCCTGTCTTGGAAAAACTAAACAAAACCCTGCAAGGCAAAAGAGATGCTGGAGTGCCTGACTAGAGTGTCCATCCCCAGTTAAAGTCTGAGAAGCCATTGTGTTTGTAGGAGTAGATGCATGGAGAATCTTTACAGGAGAAAGATGGGCACACAAAGTAACTAGGGTGTCCCTTCACCTGGGTGCTACAGGAAACACTTGAGACATTTCCTATCTTTGCCTTGTCTTTCTGTCGTCTCAAAGTGAACTTCCTTTGTTAGGACCCCACTGCACACTGATAGGGTTTTGTTACTCTGAAATGAACTATTTTGTGTTTGGTGTCTGGTAAGATTTGGGAAATGTTCTATTAGCAACAGACTTTAAGCTATCTTAGGTTAGGTCACTTTCAGGTAGCTGATTTCATTATTTGTTAGTACTTATTAGCTTTACTCAAGAGGTCATCATTTTCTGTAGCTTGTTTGGAAGTTTGCAGTTGCCTTTGCTGTGATTATAATCATCTTACTGCCTTCTTTCCCTTGATTGTTAAATTGCTGCTTCCTTTCTTCCTGTATAAGCCATGTAGAATTACAGTTTCCCACACTGAGAACTCAATGGACAGCTCTAGAGGACAGTTCCCTAGAATCTCGATATTTATCTTCAGAGACAACTATTGATTGGCTTGTATCTGTAGTCAGAAGCTTCCTTTGTTAGGGCTCTTTTCTCTGATTCTTGAATTATTCATTAGAAACTTCCCACAGATCATTTTTTATATAGGAAACAAAATCTACTACCACCACCTAATCCTAGTTTTCTCTAATGTTAGCTGATATTTTATGAAATGGTCTCAATCTCTGCTTGATTTAATTATCTAGATCAGGCAGGGGTTGTCAAGCTGACCCATGTGCCAAATTTGGTCCATTGCTTGCTTTTGTATTCCTTAAGAGTAGTTTTTATGTTTTTAAGTGGTTGGAGAGAGATATTTCATTGACACATAAAATTTTAATTTCAGTGTCTGTGATTAACGGTTATTGGAATATAGCTATGCCCATTCATTTGATATTGCCCATGGCTGCTTTTGCACTAAAACAAGAGTTTTGTAGTTGTGTCAAGGACCGTGTGGTCTGTAGTCTCTCATATGTTTACATTCTAGTTTCCTATCCAAGAACTTAGCTGACTGGGTCTGGGTCATGTTCTTGTGTCTGTGTGTCACAGTCGTATAGCTTGGAAAATTGTTGAAAGTTCTATTTGGTAGCAAAGTAATACAGTCCTGAAGATGGTGGACCAGCGCCCCCGACCCCCATCTGTTTTTCAGATGGAAAGTTGCATTAGATGCATTTCCCCAGGTGAGTTTTAAATCACTTAACAGTTTGGGGTTGGGCTTTTTGTTTTTGTTTTTGTTTTGTAGATCTAGTACTGGGGAGATTGTATGTGTGTGTATGTGTGTATACACATACACATATATACATACATATATATGTATATATACACACACACATACATATATATGTATATATCAGGTTGCATGTTTGGTATTTCAAGTCCAAGATCTTTGAGTTGTTTTCCCTCCACCACTTGCCTATTTTCTTTTTCCTTCTTTTATTCTTTCCTTTCTTAGTTGTGTGGTTTAATTGAGCTTTTCTGATGTTGTCTTGTCCGGTTTAACTTTTCACTTAAAAAAATTTCTTTAGGGGGCTGGAGAGAGATGGCTCAGAGGTTAAGAGTACTGGCTGCTCTTCCCAAGGTCCTGAGTTCAATTCCCAGCAACCACATGGTGGATTACAGCCATCTGTAATAAGATCTGGTGCCCTCTTCTGGTGTGCAGGAATACATGGAGGCAAAAGGCTATATACATAATAAATCTTTAAAAAAATTTTTTTTTTTTCTTTAGGCTGAGCACGGTGGTGCACACCTTGAATTCCAGTGCTTGGGAAGCAGAGACAGGTGGATCTCTTGAGTTTGAAGCTATCCTGGTGTACATAGTTCCAGGACAGCCAGGGCTATTTAGAGACCCTGTTTCACAAAAACAAATAAAATAAATGTAAGATTTAAAAAAAAAAAATTGCTGGGCGTTGGTGGTGCACGCCTTTAATCCCAGCACTCGGGAGGCAGAGGCAGGCGGATCTCTGTGAGTTCGAGGCCAGCCTGGTCTCCAGAGCAAGTGCCAGAATGGGCTCCAAAGCTACACAGAGAAACCCTATCTTGAAAAACCAAAAAAAAAAAAAAAAAAAAAAAAAACAACCTTCAGACAGGGCCAGTGAGATAACACTTGCCAAAACATAAACCTGGTGTAAGCTTGATGACCTGAGTAAGTGATCACATAAGTGCTGTAGCATGTGCCTCCCTGGTAAATACATCCACACACATCCTATGTGCATACACACAATTAAAAATTTCTGGGGTTGGAGAGATGGCTCAGCAGTTGAGAGCATTTGCTGCAGAAAGCCAGAGTTGTGTTTCCAGCACTCATATGGTGGCTTACAACCCTCCTAACTCTGGTTTCAGGGGATTCAGTGCCCTTTTCTGGTCTCCATGTCCTTTAGACATTTTTGCATTGAATCAGTCTCCCTTGGAACAGAATCAGGGAATTAATGATTACCTTTGAAAATACTGCATTTGCCTGTTATTGTGGCCTATGTCTATAATCCCAGACTTTTGGAAACAGAGATAGGAGTATCCAAAATTGAGAATATCATGGGTTACATAATGGGACCTTGTTGCTTTAAAAAAAAAGGGGGGGGAGAAGAGTCAGATTTTCTAGGACCATCATGCTTTTTTGCTTGCTTTAACTAGGATGAGCCTGAGGTCAGCATATCATTCAGGTTGGTCAGACCATGGAAAACAAAAGACTATCTGATCTCATCTATGAAAGAAAGAAAATGCATTTCTTGCACTCATGAAAATTAAATAGATTTAGGCCCAAAAGGAGGGGGCAGTTGACTCACCACAGTTCCCATCAGCTCCCTGACTGGTTAGGCTTGTATTTAAAATTTGGTCTCCTGTTTTTGAATTTTTCCTTAATTATATCTTTTGCATGCTCTTTATCTTAATCTTGGGTTAGATCTTTTTTCCCTCATGCCCATTTAATTTTTTCACCTCCCAGGAAGCTGACAGAATGCATAGAATGTTTCGGTTCTTAGGTCACTTTGTTTTATGTGTAGCAACAATCATCAGAATTTTTTTCTGAGATTTTAGACTCAATGTTGTGGCTTTCAAATTTAATTTCATGTGTTATATGGTAGTCATTTCTAAATAGATTCTACTAACCTTTCTGTTTTGTTTAGATCATATTTCTTCCCCATATCATTTTGTATTTCATAATGAAAAGAGAGTAAAAAAACTTAAGTAACAAAGAGCTGAGGAGATGGCTAGTGGATAAAGTGCTTGCTGTATAGGCATCAGGGCCTGAATTTGGATCCTCAGCACCTACATTAAAAAAGCTGGCTTGGTGACACACATTTGTGACCCGAGTGTTGGAGAAGGAGATGGGGTCCTTGGAATTTGTTGGCTGGCTATTTAGCCAATCACTGAGTACCAGGGACAGTGAGAGACCCTGTTTCAGACAGTAATATGGAGAAAGATGGAAGAGGACACCTAAATTCAACCTCTGGCTTCCACATGTGCACACATGGATACCCCACCCACATGTATACACAACACACACACATAGTAATCTTAGTATTTACAAATAGGGTAGAATTCAACCAATGATTAAAAACAAAAAAGTACATTAAAATGGAAATAAATATATATGTCTTCAGAAAGCTTTTTCTTTACTGTTGTGAACAATCTGTTTTCTCCCATCTCTACACGTGGCAAAAGTGAAGCCCACCTGAGAATCACTGTACATAGAGAGATGCCACTAGGGTAAAGATGCTGTGTATTTCAATAATGTGAAGGAAAAGGAAAATATGAATGTAATAGGCTAGGAATATTAGTCCCAACAGGCCTTCTTATTCCAAATGGAGTTAAGGCTTTCAGTCCCCATCTCCAAAATCCAAAGTGTCTCTAAGTAACAAACCACAATAAAAATAGACATGATTCTGATGAAGTCACAGGAGTTATGCCAAGAGAACTAGAGGGAAAGAAAAAGAGAAGGCACAATCTAGAAACCTAACACTGCTTCTAGTTATCTTCAGAGTACTAGTAGTACAAGAGAGTGAGTAGCTTTGAGAACCCAGAAGTGATTTACATTGTAGCAAGAAAAGCTTTACAGATAGATAGAAGGCACTACTAGCCAGATGTGATGCTGACTCCTGTAATCCCAGCATTCAGGAGCCAGAAACAGGAAGATCATGAATTTGAGGTCAGTGTTGGTTACATAGCAAGTACAAGATCAACTTGAGCTGTGTGATAAGATTCTGTCTCAAAAAAGCCAGGGCTAGGAATATAGAATTTAGCAGTAAAGTACTTGGCTGGTTTATATCTCTATTACCAAGGTGGGAAATGATGGCGTTTCTGAAGAGGGGTTGGTTGGTTCTATCTCTAAACCTATGTTGCTATCATTGTTCATCATAGTTAGTCTGAATTTTCAGTAACTTAGAGATCATCTAGTTTATGCCTTTTTTTTTTAGACCAAAAGACTGAGGGTACATAGCGAGCTCTTTATTAAAAAGTGAAATAAAGTCTGGCTCTTGGTTAGGCTTCTCCTGGACCATGTAAGTTGTGTGGTATGTAGGTATTTTATAGAGAGAAAAGGAGTTTCTAATAAATATTTGCTTACTCTTAAATAACAAATAGTTGAACAGTGTGAGAGGTAATTTGTCCTTTAATCTGTATATGGTCTGTAGAAATGAAGTGTCATGTTGACTAAGATTAGGTGAGATGGAAAAGATGCTAATGTGCTACAATGCAAGAAATGGAGACTGTTGATGTCATTTCAAGTAGCTTCCCTGAAGATTGACCACCTTAGAGTGCTAAAGAGCTTGGTTGAGTGTTGAGTCTAAATCTTCCTGCTGTGGTCTTCCTCTTGCTTAGTACCCATGCACTTAGTAGGCTTCGAGTGGAGGGAGGGGAGACAATGACAGGTTGAACCTAGATGTTCAGAGCACTTAGAATGCAGTGTGTGTGCAGTTTGTTTATTCAGAAACTGTTTTAACTTCTCAAAGGTCAGGCACTTGTTGCATATATTGGGGATATAGCATTAAAACACAGTAATAAAAATCTTGGCTTTTACATTCTAACAAAGGGAACCAAACACAGAATGGCAAGAATGTGAGGCAATGATGTAGTTGGAAAATGGAGCTCGAGAATCCCAGGGTGGAATGAAAGGGGTCAAGGAAGCCTCAGTTGAAGGTGATATTTAACAGTGACCTGAAGGAGAGGGAAGAGGACATTACTGTTTGAATATTGGAATGAATACTAAGGGTCCAGATACAGGACTACACTTGATACACATGGGTGTAGGGGAATGAGCATTATTGGTCAGGGACAGAGAGCACCTGAATTAAGCTGAGTGGCAATCATTGGATGATGAGATTGGGAAGGTATTGGGATCCATATGGCTCATTGCAAGAACTTTAATAACTTTTGTTTTTTTCATTTTATTTGTTGTATGTGTGTGGGATTTTTTTTTTCTTTTTTGCATGTATCTATACATGTATTTGAGTACGTTAATCACATGTTTCTACAGTTGGAGGCCAGAGATTGATGTCTGGTATCTTCCTCTAGTTACTACCTTAGTTTTTGATCTAGAATCTCTCATTGAACCTAGAGCTTGCTGATTGGTTAGACTGACTGGTCACCAAGCCCCTGGCATTCTTCTGTCTCTTCCCCATCCCTGAAGTCAGCACTGGAGTTACAGACACATGTCACCATGCTCAGCTTTTACATGGGTGTTAGGGGATAAAAATGCTGGTCCTCATATTTGCATAGTAATTTCTTTACCCTTGAAACCATCTCACCAGCACCAGGTTGTCGGGAGTTTTTGTTGTTGTTGTTGTTTTGTTTGTTTGTTTGAGAAAGGGTTTTTCTCTGTGTAGCCCTGCCTGTCCTGAAACTCATTCTGTAGACCAGGTTGGCCTTGAACTCAGTGATCTGACTGCCTCTGCCTCCCTAGTGCTTGGATTAAAGGCATGCTTGTTGGGAATTTGTTTATGGCAGAGAGAGTAAATAAAGTTTAAATATCTTCTTTTTTTTTTTTTGGTTTTTCAAGACAGGGTTTCTCTGTAGCTTTGGAGACTGTCCTAGAACTCGCTCTGTAGACCAGGCTGGACTCGAACTCACAGAGATCCACCTGCCTCTGCCTCCCTAGTGCTGGGACTAAAGTGTGCACCACCACCGTCTGGCTCAAACTGGTTTAAATAGAGCTCCCACCTTACTCTCCTGCTTCTAGTATAGTCCATTAAGATGCTTGTTGAACCAAGCATTGTGGCATATATTGTAGTCCCAGCACTCTGGAGGCTGAGTCAGGAGAAGTTTGGAGTTTGAGTCCAGTTTAGCGTGAGACCCTGTCTGGAAAATAATTAATAGAATTGAAACATGTTTGTGCACTGGTGCCATATCTTTGGTTACTAGTAACCACCAGTAAATAATTAGTTTTTCAAGCACTGAAAGGCTCCATGACTGGTCCTGACTTGTAATATATGGTGAGGTGATTTGTTGGCAGAATTGGGACCAAAATTTCATGCCTTAGCTCAGTGACTAGACTCTTTCATAATGGTAACAAAACATGACAGCATCTCCTTATATGGTGGCCGTACATGGGAAACATCCTTAGGGTTACACTTTAATTCCTCAGAGTCTCTGTTATAGGACTGGCTGGACAGGGGCTCAGAGCAAGCTATTTAACAAGATCCTCAAAGCCCTGCAGTCTGACCGGCTCGCCCGATTGGCCAATGAAGGGGTAAGATATCAGAAATCTGTGTATAGTTGGCTTTCTTAGTTCAAGCCTCATTGACTGACTGTGTCCTGTGTTGTGCCCCCTGCCCAACTAACCTCTTTTCATGAACATATTTTAGGCCTGCAATGAGCCTGTGCTTCGTCGTGTCGCTGTGGACAAGTGTGCAAGGAGGGTGCGACAGGCTCTGGCAAGTGTAAGCTGGGACACCAAACTGATCCAGTGGCTCCATACCACCCTTGTGGAGACCTTGAGTCTGCCCATGCTGGCTGCTTACTTGGATGCTTTGCAGACACTGAAAGGGAAGGTGAGGCTTTTGCTGCTTTTTCCTAGCAGCAGCCTATATTTGCTGTGGGTTCAGGATGTAGGTATGGACAAGACCATTGTGACCAGGTCAGCATGGTTGAGTCTAACAATTCGCCTGTTAGAAATAGGAAAAAATTTTTCAGTCCTTCCATCTTTTGGGTGAAGTATGGCATCCGAAAACCAGTATACATATTTAACCTCTATAGCCTTGCAGTTTGTGTTTTGAGTCATCACTGAATTGAATTGTGGTGGAGGAGATGAGGGTTTTACCAAGAAGGACTGTCGATAAAAAAGGGGTGAGAAGCAGATCTGTGTTGCTCGGAGGGCCCAGGGGATTACATAGCAAGGAGCTACCTGACACTAAGTCTCTCCTCATCAAGTGATGAACCATAGGCTGGTGTGGTGGTACATACACACCTTTAGTTCCAGTATTGTGGAGACAGAGGCAAGTGGATCTCCATCACTTTGAGCCTGTTCTACACTGCAAGTTCATTTCTGTAGTGATTAAGTTAGTGAATTGAGGTAGAGAGATCTTAACACAAAAGCCAGCATATAAGAAGCCCACAATAGCTACTGAGGATTATTCAAGTGGCCCTGATAGGGCCTTGAGGAGTATGTGTGCCTTGCTCCAGCATAGGATGGCCTTAAGCAATGGTACTTAATTTTGTTTCTTCACTTTGTGTTTTTTTTTTTTACGTGGTGATACTGGGATAGAGTCCAGGCTCTTGCATTTGCCCAGTCATTAGTTCTTTGAATCAGGTCTCTAAAACTTGTAATTTCATTGTTTCTTAATCTGTTTTGTTTTTGTTTATTTGACGTTACAGAATGCTGAGTTTGTCAGAAAGCTGAAGAAAACTGTGTGCCAAAGTAAAACAAAATGTAGAACTAGATACAATAGTTATATGTGTGATAGGATATTTGACCTAATCTTTTTCATTCAGCTAATACTTACCTTGTATTTAGAATGTGCTAGGCATGGAAGTGAGAAAAAAAAAGTGAATAGTGTGCTATAGGGATGAGTGCTGATAGTGCCCAAGGCAATGACAGCTCTTGCCACACTTGCCATGGCCAGGATTTAGATGTGATTCCTCTTGTTTGAAAAGACAAGTTTGCACTACTTCTGGTTTCAGATACTAGTGGGGCATGCCCTGTGTGAATGAGGTGATAGATATTTTGAGCATGACAGACCCCTGTTGTGGACTTTTTAAGCGTGCACAGCAGATGCCAGTTCTACATGGACATAGTGCTGGGGTCTAGTATGGAACGGCATGAGTCTGCTTGGTACACCAGTCAGTGAGTACATTAAGTATCTCCATGGTGGTTCCTCTACCTCCAGACTTAAAAGCTATTAATGAATATGGAATTTCTTTGCTTTAAAATACTTGCTAGGTGTTAAGACAGCAACTGACTCAGGTCATGCTCTTGGCCCAGCTATTTTCACCTTTAGCTTCATTATGAAGAGAACAGAGAAGGGAAAGCAAACTCCGGGTCTTTGTTGTGTTGAGACAGAATGAATGTAAGACTGGAAGGGCTGCGGAAGCTTGGTCTTCTAGCTTTTAAGTGGAAGTCAGATGACTTATTTCATGTTGACAGTGAGCCTTGGGCTTTTCAGTTTCATAGATAAACTCTGCTGCCTGAGAAAGCTTTATAAGTCCAAGCCCAGTATTCACAGTGTTGTGGCTCATGATTAGATTGGGGGTTATAAAGAATGGACAGTTTGGGGTGCTGATCCTTTACACTGTGTACTCTTATTCCTTGCTGGAATCCCTTCCCTTCCCTTCCCTTCCCTTCCCTTCCCTTCCCTTCCCTTCCCTTCCCTTCCCTTCCCTTCCCTTCCCTTCCCTTCCCTTCCCTTCCCTTCCCTTCCCTTCCCTTCCCTTCCCTTCCCTTCCCTTCCCTTCCCTTCCCTTCCCTTCCCTTCCCTTCCCTTCCCTTCCCTTCCTTTCCTTTCCTTTCCTTTCCTTTCCTTTCCTTTCCTTTCCTTTCCTTTCCTTTCCTTTCCTTTGAGTGTTCTGCTTGCATGTATGCCTGCATGCCAGAAAAGGACATTAGATCCATTTGTAGATGCTTGTGAACCACCATGTGGTTGCTGGGAATTGAACTCAGGACCAGGACCTGTGGAAGAGCAGCCAGGGCTCTTAACTGCTGAGCCATCTCTCCAGCCTTGGAATCTGTTTTTTAAGTCCACATTGGTCTGGAATAAACACTACACATCCTTGCTTTTTGTCTTACTTGGGTAACCGTATGGCCTGGAACTTGCTATGTAGACCAGACAGGCTTTGGACTTGCTTTAATCCTTCTCCTGCTTCCTAGGTTTTGGGATACAGGAGTGGGCTACCTGCCCAACTGTGTATCTGGCTGATAACTCATCTCATGTTAGAGTCCTGCCTAACCTAGGCTTGTTTCATTGTATGCGTTACTGCTTCGGATGAGAATTTCCTGTTCACCCATCCTGCTCTATGTAGGGCTTCTTTTTTTCTCATGGCAGTTAGTACTGCCCCCCATTGGTTTGTCTTTCTCACCCTTTGAGTTAAATCTCTTTGCAGGATTAGCTTGGTGCTATGTAAGAGCAGCGGCTATATAAACATTAACTTCTGAGTTAACTGAGGCAATCTAGAGATTATAATTTCCAAAATCTCATGATCCTCTTAGTGTGCCTTTTCTCCCTTTGTTGTTTATTTACTTATTTTTTGAGACAGGGTTTCCTTTTGCTGGCCATGAATTAGATATCCTCTTGCCTCAGCTTCCTGAGTGTTGGACCCAGATTTCAAATCTTATTAAACTTACTTATCTGAAGCATATTTATATGGAGTACAGATAAAGAATTTCAAGTAACATACCACAGTATGATGTTCATTTTATTTTAATTATTTTGTGTGTTGTCGATCAAGCCCAGGGCCTTGCAAATCCTAGTTAAGAGTTATTCCCAGCTTCTAATCAGTCTGTATGTCTCTGCATGTCTCTCTCTCCCTCTCCCTCCTCTCTTCTTCTCTCTCCTTCCCTTCTCCCCTCGCTTCTTCCCTCTCCTGAGTTAGGAATAGCTAGCTCATCTTAGCCTGCTGCCTTTGGCATTTTATGCCTACCTCAAACCATATTCTCTAGTCTCTGGAAACCCTTTTAAAATGCCTCTGAAAACTACCTAAAACACTTCAAAATCTTTTCTTTCTTTCTTTGAGATTGTTTTGACTTCTCTGTGGGTATTGTGGGATTCGTGAAGATATTTCTTTGCAGTATCAGCATCAGCATGTCTGAAACCTGTATTTATATATTGGTGAGGTCACTTTTTTGGGGGATAGTTAAAAACAGGATATGATATAAATCACGATATACACAATATAGTAGGATATATTGGGGGGGGAACCAATAACAGGTTACATTATACTTGTCTCAGCTTGAAGACTGTATCCAGAAGATAGTGCAGATGTTTATTTTTTTGTTTTTTAAGTCAGGGTCTAATGTATCCCAGGTTGTCCCCTGTGTAGCTGAGGTTGACCTTGACTTTTTGATCCTCTTCCATCCATCTCCCAAGTGCTTAATCACATAGGAATGAGTCACCACGACTTCTGTGTTTTCTGATATGAAAAAGTACCAAAGTACAGTCATCTGGGAAAGGGATGGTAGAATAAACTTCAGGCATATTGGCGCAGCTCACTGGATTGCCTTCTAGAGGAAGAGCTCTGTGTTCCTTTCACAGTGGGAGTGTACTTTAGCTGTGCACTGATCTGATATGCATAAGAGCTAAGAGCTCAGTGGGTTTCTGTCCTGCAGCACATTGCTGCTGGAAGGAAGGTTTCTCACTTCACACTGGAAACATCTTTGCTCATCTTTCTTTGCAGATCCCAACTTTGATCGATCGAATGCTTGTGTCATCCAACACAAAGACTGGGGCTGCAGGAGCAGAGGCCTTGTCACTCCTCCTTAAGAGGCCCTGGGACCCTGCCGTTGGTGTGCTTTCTCATAACAAACCAGTAAGTTGGTTGCTCAGCCTTAACTGGCACATACAATGTTCAGACTGAGCCTTAGAGGTTTGGCAAGGGAAGATAAGTGGCTTAACTTTCTCATTAATAGCTTGGGTTCTTCTTAAAGATTCATTTATTTTTAAAGTGGGATTCTGCACTTCAGTGCAGGTGTTCATGGAGGTCAGAAGAGGGAACTGAGTTACAGGCACTTGACATGGGTGCTGGCAATTGAACTCTGCTTCCCCGGAAGAGCAGTGAGTGCTTTTAACTGCTGAGCTGTCTCTCCAGCAAAGGATCAGTGGTTGGTATAAGCTGTTGGGATGTAGTTGTTGAGAGTTTATATAAAGATGAATGAATACTTCTCACTCAGTGGTTCTTGGATGGGATTCTGTCTCCTCAGAGTAAACTCCCTGGCTCTCCTTTGATTCTCATCGCCTCCTCTGGTCCCTCCAGTTCTGTGTTCCCTGCCTCACGCCGCCACCGCTTCTGGCAGTCGCAGCTTTCCTGCTTAGGCAAGGTAATTGTAAGAACAAGGAGTTCTGGGTAGGATTGTAGTCTTAGGGGTTAAAGGGAAGGGTGTGGGGGAGGGGTCAAATTTATTGAACTCAAATGTGGTTTATCCCCTTATCTCTAAGGGTATAAACTCTGGAAACCCTTTTTGTGTTTGTATCACCTGTCTCAGAGATTTGGGATGAGTTAAGCAGAATTGAGGTTTGAAACTTGGCCCTTCTGACGTGGATGCTCTTTCTTCCCTTTAGGTCATTCCTGTAGCCACCCATCTGCTGAACAATGGTAGTGGGGTAGGAGTTCTGCAGTGCCTTGAACACATGATTGGGGCAGTGAGAAGCAAAGTGCTGGAGGTGAGAATGCCCAGGTTTGGTTCACAGAAGGGCACCCAGTAGTGTGGGATTGCTCTGTGCCCATGCACAGTCTCCTATTTACTCTCTTCTTTTTCTTGCCATAAAGATTCACAGCCATTTCCCACACAAACCCATCATCTTGATTGGATGGAATACAGGAGCTTTGGTGGCCTGTCATGTAAGTAATTTCTGTTTTATTTGGAGAACACTGAAAACTTAAATGTGGTCATGAAAAACAGTGCTGCTATTATTACTTTGAATTCTTCTTTGTCTTTGTGCTAGATACTTAGCATGGGAAACTGCATTTACATTGTGGAAGACAATCTCATTAGTTTTTAAATGTTGTAATGGAAATGTTACTATAGCAAGAATAGAGTAGTGAGTAAATTCTTTGATCTCCTAGTTTTACCAGAGTTCAACTCATAGCCAGGCTTACTTTTGTCTTATTCCTGCCCACTTTCTCTGTGCTCCAGATTATTTTGAAGAAAGTTTCAAAGTATGATGACACATGGTTATAATCTTAGCACTAGGTAGGCTGAGGCAGGAAGATTGCCATGAGTTTGGTGCTAGCTTGGGCTATAATAATGAGTTCTGGGCTAGCCCAAACTTCTTAGGAAAAGAAAACAGTATTAAAATGTTCCAAATATAGCCAGGCAGAGGAGGCAAAGGCAGATGGATCTCTTGAGTTCAAGGCAAGCCTGGTCTACAGAGCAAGTTCCAGGACAGCCAGGGCTACACAGAGAAACCCTGTCTGGAGGGGTGGAGGAGTTCCAAACACTTCCAGACTTCAATACCTGTGCTCTCTCCTTAACATTTCAAATGGGGACAGATTAGTAGTTTTGAATTTGATGTTGTATTTGTGTTTGCTTCCTTTAATAAGTATCAATGGACATTTTTTTTTTTTTTTTGGCATGTATATGTAAGCTTGTGTAAGTATCCTTGACTTTTGAAAGCTCCATTTCTTCAACTAGTGTAGTCAAGTATGCTATCTAGAGTAGTGAGATAGCAAGTGTCTGCTATAATCTGCACACCCGAGGCCAGACCTCTCAGTAGTCACTTACTTTGAGAAGTCTCAGCTGTGTAGGAACTAGCCCTGAAAACCACTGATAAGAGATTTCTCCACTTAAGGGACAGGCTGGTATTAAGTTTTGTCTATGTTGTGGGGTGTTTCTCTGTGTTCTGAGGATGGAACCCAGGGCTTGCACATGTGAGGTAATTGTGCTACTCTGAACTAGCTGTATCTCCCTGCCTGGCAACATTTATGTTCTTTTGCTTATATTTGTTCTCAATAACAAAGTCAGTCAAGAGGGCTCTAGTTGAGGTTGCTCTCAGGGCTGAAAAGTGACAACTCTATCAGGCTCCGGTGTATGTGGGGGTCTGTCAGGGCTCCAGTTCTCTAGGAAGTGACTGCCTGTGTTTTGTACACTTAATCATGTCATGGCTAACAAAAATGAAAGCTAGGACAAGCAAGAAAAGCTGGAACTGACTGGTGGCTCTAAACTAGCCAGTCCCACCTGCAGTCTGGGGAGGCTGAGGTACAGTGAATTCACTTGCCAAAAGATGAATGGTGCCTTTATTTACAGGTGTCTGTGATGGAGTATGTCACTGCAGTTGTCTGCCTTGGGTTTCCTCTGCTTACTGTGGATGGCCCCCGGGGGGTAAGAGCGAGGTGAAACTGGTTGGTCTTTGGCAGTGGAGTGGGGGCAGCAGGAATGTGGGACAGTGGAGTGAGGCCTCCCACAGGTTCACAGCTGACGCAGGTTCAGTTTCTGAACCGATTCAAGGTCAGTCAGTGCTTCCTGAGCACCAATTGGCTGAATCTAAACTGCTGCCTTCCTCTTTTAGGATGTGGATGATCCCCTCTTGGACATGAAGACACCAGTCCTCTTTGTCATTGGTCAGAATTCTCTACAGTGTCACCCCGAAGCCATGGAGGACTTCCGGGAAAAGATTAGAGCAGAAAATAGCTTGGTGGTGGTTGGGGGCGCTGATGATAATCTCAGGTGGGTGCATTGCTCTAGAGCTGAGAGGGAACATGTTAGAATGTTAAAAAATTTCTTGTCTGGGGTCAGTGTAATGACAGACCAGCGTGACCAAAATTACAATTAAAAGTTGCATCCTATAATCCCAATATATGTTCAGAAGGCTGAAGCAGAAGGATTCAGTTTGAGGCCAGCCTGGCCCTTGAACTTGTCTCAAAAACTTAAAACAAAAAGCTGTAAAAATAGTACAAAAAATACGAAATCTCATGTATCCTTCACCTAAGTTTCTTGTATAACCAAAATACAATCTTAAAATGAGGAAACTAATGTCAATTTGATAGCATTGTCTAGTCTAAATAACAAACTTAGATTTCATCAGTGTCTACCTAGTGTCTGTGTCTCTTTTTTGAGATAGGATTTCTTGTAGCCTAGGCTGAACTCAGATTTACCATGTACTGAGGATGACCCTTACTGAAGACATCCTTCTGACCTAACTACTAAATCTCCATACCCAGTCTTCAGTGTTTGTTTTCTGTGACCTTAACACCATTAAAGACAGCTGACCAGTTATGCTACAGATAGTTTTTAAAAAGTATTTTAGGATTACATTGAAGATGTTCAATGTATTCTGTCAGTCAGGGGATACATGATTCAATTTGTCTTATTACCACTGATAATAACTTTGATCACATAGTTGAGATAGCTGCTGTGGGGTTCTCCACTATGAAATTATTGTTTTTCCCTTTGTAATTAGGAGTCATCTTGTGGGGAGAAGATACTTTGAGATTCTTTGTCATCAAACTTTTCCTGGGGTAGGCATTTAAAAAATTTTTTTTCCTTAGTGAGGATCAGTATGAATATAGATTTACTTGTGTTAAGCCTGACTGGATACATTTTAAAGTATAAATAAAACCAAGTTTTGGGAGGGGTTTTAGGAAGGTCAGTCTTAGAAAACACCTTGACTTGTAGGGGTTTTTCTTTGTTTCTTGAGACAGTTTCACTCTGGCTCTCCTGAAAGTATCACTCTGTAGACCAGGCTGGCCTCGAACTCACAAGTACTGGGATTAAAGATATGCAGAAAGCTTAGGCAAAAAAATGCCTATTCCTGTCAGTCTGGTTTCTTTCTTTTCTTTGTTTCTTTTTTTTTTTTTTTTTTTTGGTTTTTCAAGACAGGGTTTTTCTGTGGCTTTTGGAGGCTGTCCTGGAACTAGCTCTTGTAAACCAGGCTGATCTCAAACTCACAGAGATCCACCTGCCTCTGCCTCCTGAGTTCTGGGATTAAAGGCGTGTACCACCAATGCTGGCACAGTCTGGTTTCTTATTCAGGCTTCTTGTAGGAGTCTTTCTGGCCTTTGTCATTTACCACTTGATTGTTGATGTTCAGCTCAATGTTTTCATGTAAACACATTATTTTTGCTGATATTCAGATGGTCCGCAAGAGATTAGAGCATGTGTGTATTAAGGGAATGGGGAAGGATGAGAAGAATGCTGGCTGCTGTTGAGTTGTGATCAAACATTGGCATAGGTTGAAGATCACTGGACTAAGGATTGGGAAACTTCAATTAGTCTTAATTCCTTTATGTAGAAGTTTGGATAAGTTGCTTAACTGAAAATGATGGTGTTATGTATAATCAAGATCAGCTGCCAGTCGATTGGGAGAAAATATTTTGAGACTCTTGTCTTTGACATTAGACTTTAATGTTTAGATTTACATATAGTTTTTTAAACTTATTTGAGATAGGGTCTCTCTATTGTAGCCCTGGCTGTCCTGTAACTCTTTAGGTAGATAGGCTTACCTCAAACTCGTAGAGATCTGCCTGCCTCTGCCTCATGAGTGCCAAAATTAAAGGTGTACACTACCACACCTTGCTTTAAAGAAAATAATTTAAAAATTTAAATATTTTTGTGTGTGTGAGGGTTTCCATACCACAGCTTTTTATGGAGGTCAGAGCACAAGTTAGAGTTAGTTCTCTCCTTGTAAACTATGTGAATCCTGAGCAACTCAGGTTGGAGGATCAGCATGAACATAGCTATTATTTGTATTAAGCTTCATTTAAGTTATTTTGAAGGGTAAATATAGATTTAATAATGTTGCTCTCCCATCATATAACTTAGGGTCCTGGTTTCCTTTTCCAGGAGCCTTAGTCAGAAACCAGGTTTTTGTTATTTTGAGACAGAGTCTTGTAGATAAACTTTTTTCACAGCCTCCCCCCACCCCTTTCTGTGTGTGTTGGGGAGGAGAGGAAGAGAGACAGGTGTGTGTGAGTGGAGGTACACATGTATCAGGACATGGGAGCATGGCATATGTCTGGAGGTCAGGACAACTTACAGGGTCAGTTCTCTCCTTTCACTCTGGGTGGCAGAGTTTGAACTTAGTCATTAGGCTTTTCTCTGAGAGCCATTAGGCTTTCCCTGCAAGCGCTTTTTCCTACTCAGTCATCTCACTGTTTCCCATTTTGCCTCTTAGAATAAGCAAAGCAAAGAAGAAATCAGAAGGCTTGACTCAAAGCATGGTGGACAGATGTATTCAGGTAAACAGTTTTCTCTTGTTTTGTAGTTGGGCCTTCTTTTCTGTTGCCTCAAGTTTAGTCTTAAGTGGCAGCATCTTACCTTCTCTGGACCATGAAGGGTATCAAGGAGGTTCTGTGGTATACCTAAATCACAATCAGAGAAACGGGGGAAGAGGAGGAAAAGAACAAAGGAGAGGTGAACTAAGATGAAGATTTGGGTGAGGCATCTGGGTGGGGTATGCCCAGAGCTGCTTTCACATAGGCACCTGCTGGTCTTCGCCGAGAAGCTCGGCCTTTGTGTGACTTTGTGAGTGGGAAGAACCATCATTTGGGAGTAGAGTTCTGTTTAGCTTCATGTTATGTAGGAGGGTCCTGTTCTTCAGAGGAGGACTCAGGCCTTGGCTTCTTTTCACACTAGGATGAGATTGTGGACTTCCTGACTGGAGTGCTCACTCGTGCTGAAGGACATGTCGGGTCTGAGCCCCGGGATCAGGATGCTGAGAAGAAAAAGAAACCCCGGGACTTGGCCCGAAGAGATTTGGCCTTTGAAATTCCTGAGCGAGGCAGTCGACCTGCTTCCCCAGCTGCCAAGCTCCCCACCTCCCCCTCGGGCTCCGAGGTAGTGTGGGCAGGGAGGGAGGGAGCACCTTTGTTGAAGTGTGAAGATGCATAATTGGATATTCCTTTGCGGGGATATCCGGGAATTCCTATAAGGGGAGTTCCAGGGAGACATGCCAAGTGATGGTTGGATGCAAACCTCTTGGACCTTCTCTACTCAGGATCTCTCCAGTGTGTCCAGTAGCCCCACCTCTAGCCCTAAGACCAAAGTGACCACTGTGACCTCTGCCCAGAAGTCCAGTCAGATTGGGACCTCCCAGCTACTGAAAAGACATGTGCAGAGGACAGAAGCTGTGCTAACCCACAAACAAGCCCAAGGTATAGTCTCCTGGCCCAGCAGCCCCAATGGGGTTCTGTCTCCTGCAGCTAATGTCATGTGGCAGTTGGAAGGCATTAGATCTGCAGCTTTTTCAGGACAGTGCGAGAGGCACCCTTTCCTATATTGCTTCTAGGCAAAATCAGGTTGAAATGAATCCCAAGGCTGTGTGGAACTAGGCCTTGTGTCGGTTAGTCATGACCTTGTCTGTTGGTGTGCTGGAGACACTGGGCTTATACACTGACAGTGTGTAGTGCCTGACCTTTCTTCTAATTACTAATTGGAGAAGCTACATATTTTGCCAACCATTCCTGTAGTTAGAGGACTTTGCAGATGATAAGCACAATGTGACTGATTTTATTCCTCAGATTCTAGGCCAGCTCACCTTGCCCTTCTTTGTTTTGGTCTTGAAGAGAGTTCTTGAAGAGAGTTCTATGATGAGTTATCTACAAATTTGGTCAGGGTTCTGCAGTTAAACTTCAGTTGAGAGTGGGAAACATGTATTATTGAAATCGGGGCTTGGAGGAATCCAAGGGCTATGTGGGGAGCTGTAGAAAAGGGGAAATTCAGTGAGTCAAGAAGCATCAGTGGCTCTGTCTCTTATGTTGGTCTGTTCCACCCCCTCTCCTCCACATGATCCTCTGTTCACCTCCCCTTTTGCTTTTAATGGAACCAAAGAGTTATTACTTAAACCCAGACATCTTATGAAATGATTCTCACAAGTATGAGGGAGTGGGTTAAGGCAACAAAAGAGGCTAGGCCCCTAGGGTCTGTGGATGCCCTGTAACCTGACTTTTCCTAAGTGGTGGGAAAGAGCTGAGTTCCTGGTAGAAATTTGGTGAAGTCAGAATTAACAGATTGCTGTATTTCTGGGTAACATGATTAGTTGGAGATACTAAAGTGATCTTGAAGGCTGAGTGGTGAGAGCTGGTTTAAGATGGGACCTAAGAATATAAATGGGGACAGCAGTAGTCCTGAAACCATGGTGGCAGAGCTGATGGGTGGGTGGGGAGTGGTAGTTAATATAAACAGAGTCTTCACTGCCTGCTGCCTTTCTTTGGTGTGTATGTTCAGGCTTGGCAATGGCCCCATGTGGCAAGTACATAGATAGCAAAGTCAGGTTCCAGATCCATGTAGTTGCCTCAGAAAGAGTACCCACTGACCATTTTCATCTCTTCCTTGTTCCCATTCTGTTCCTCCATTCTCTAGCTGGCTATGATTCTATAATTCTTTCTGATTCATTCCAGCACAGTTTGCTGCTTTTCTGAAACAAAACATGCTGGTGAGGAAAGCTTTTCCTCCCGGCGCCTCCTCCTGTCTCTTTGGTGAGTATTGCTTTCACCTGCTCGCCTGGGCTTGCTGCTCTCCTCCCCTGCCTCTCACTCTTCCCTTCTCTCCACTGTTGCTTCTTTGTCTCTGTCTCTGTCTCCTGACTCTTTCCACCAGCTCCACTTGCTTATACAGTAACCTTTGCCTTTTTCAGTTCTTTCTGTTGGTTTCTCATGGTGGTGGTGTTTTTGTTTTTTTTCTTTCTTACTGTGGTTTTTCTGCCATGCTTCTTGGTTCTGTGTTTCTCTCATGTTCCTGTGGCCTGTTGCCTGTAAGCCTGCATTTCCTTGTCCTGCCTTGGTTGTTTCCATCCTGACTGCTGCAAGCACACCGGGCACTTAGAGCACTGGCCTTTTTCCTCTATCTTAAGCCAGTACATTTATCCCTAAGCAGTCCTTCTAACCAGTAATTGATTCCCTCATTGTGGCCCCATGCCAGGGAAACCCCCCCCCCATTCATTGGACTGCTGTCTTCCTCCCTATCCCAGCCTATTTTCCTGTGCTAGTATAAAGAGTAGGAGAACTGAGAAAGCCTAAAGGATAGCATGTCCAGAAGGCTTACCTTTATGCACAGTGATCTGTTGAGTTAATGGAAAGCCATATCCCCATACTTGGCTGTGACATGGGTCACTTCTGCCCTATTATCTTTGGGCAGCATCTGAGATACTGCCTCACCCAGTAGTTCCTGAGAGCCAGAAAGTCCAAGGCAGCTGAATGAGCTAGAGCTGTCTCTCTGAGATGCTCCAAGTTGGGTCCACAATGGGTGGGAGCTGAGGTAGAAATATAAGGTGTAACCTGTACCTGGGGCATGTCCCCACATGGCTGCTTCTGGTTGGCTTGACCTATGCTATTCATATAAACTTATGGAAGATCTTAACTCCATTTTTTAGTTCCTATTTCATCAGAACCCATGGAGGAGGCAGAGAAAGAGGAGCTTAGGGTCCAGCTGAAGCGACACCATCCTTCCAGTCCTCTTCCTGGCTCAAAGCCCTCCAAGCGACCAAAGATCAAAGTGTCTCTGATCTCCCAGGGGGACACAGCTGGAGGGCCTTGTGCTCTTTCTCAAGGTGGAACGCCTGAAGGTGGGTCTTTTGTGGAGTGTTGGTAAAGACTGACCAGCTTTTCCAGGCACACAGTTTGGCAGGCGCCCAGCCTCTGTCAGTGTGAAGGACACCTGCAACAGAGATGGTGGTAGTTACCTTGTCTCAACAAGGAAGACGATATAAGAGTAGTTGTGGGACCATTTAGAACATTTCATATTTTGTTCCTTTCTGGTTTTCAATTAAGGTAATGAAATACTTCAGAAAGCTTAAAAGATAGAAGGAAGACACCCCCCCACACCCCCCACACCCCACCCCTGTAATAGCATAGCTGTTCTTTTTTGCCTTCCAATCTTAAACTTAGCCTTGGTTATGGGGCAAATTTGGACTGACCTTTGGTTTTGGGGTTTGTTTTGCAGCTGCTGGGGGGAAACCCATCACCATGGCACTGGGAGCTTCAGTGGGAGCCAAGGAACTCACTGGACTTCTCACCACAGCCAAGTGAGTCCGCCTTTGGTCTTTCCTGGTCCCTCCTTTCCCTTCACTCAGTTTCTGGTTCATTTGGTATTCAGGGAAGATGAGTGATTCTGGAGTCTGTCAGTTACACGGGCGTGTTACTTCTTTCTGATTGGGACCTTACCTTCATTTCTGTCAGAGTTCATTTTTCCTTATGAGATTGCAGAGCATCCACTGACTTTACTTAAGACCTCAGTTCTTTAATTTAGTCCTGACTTTTAGAAGGATAAATTTGGGACTTAGATGCTGAAATAAAGAAACAGAAAATTCTTCCTTGCGAGGCTTCACTCTAGACTCTCCCTTTTATGGCTATGGACTGCTGCCCTTTGGATGACAGGGCTCCTTCCTTTGTTTCCAGGTCAAGTTCTTCTGAAGGTGGAGTTATAGCCAGCGCAGCCCCACCTGTGGCTTCCAGCAGTGCCACGCCCAATGCCATCCACACACTGCAGAGTCGCTTGGTGGCCACTTCTCCTGGCAGCTCCCTTCCAGGTATCTCTACCAGCAATCTTTTGGGTAGACTGCTGGATGGTGGTCTTAGACCATAGCTCTGAAACTGAAGCTAGAGGTAATATCTCTGCTCTCCCAGTGATTGCAGAAGCTAACAGAAAGCTGGAATTGGCTTGGATGAGAGAAATTCTTTGTCTTTAATATCTGTAGGGGCTATGTCCTCTATTGTGAGGATAGGCAATGCCTGTTCTGGGATTCTTTTTAATACATCTGACTAAATAAAGCTGGAGGTGGTGCTAACTGGACATTAGCAAAATGAGATTGTTTTTCCTTTTTGTCACTTACTTTTTCTGACCCCAGCCTGCATGGAAGGGCTGCTTGCCTGATCCCATAGTTTAGACCATTGCTAAATTACCTTTCCTTGAAGCAGATTTTTACTTTGAGAAGGTTGGACTATAGTGTGCTCAGGTATCTTAATCCACTTGGCTTCAAAAGTCTTCTTACCTAGAAATAAAGAGGATTTAGGGTTCTGAAATGTGGGATTCAAGCTCTCTGGTGTTCCTAATGCTATTCAAAATTCAGGACTGCTGGCTTAGAACAGGTAGAGATGTGCAGGGCAAATCCAAGGCAATGTCTGGCATAGCACCTCTCCTTGTGTGGTATCTACTGTGTCTGCTGAGGAGACTCCTGATATCTTTCTGATGGCAGAGGAGTGTCTTAGGGCAAGTTTAAGTTGTTGTAAGGGTGAAAGTGTAGCTGCTTGTAGTTGTATACAAGTGACTGACCTGCTACTACCTGCCTTATCTTCTCTTAGGGGCCACTTCAGCCAGCAGCCTCCTCCAAGGCCTCAGCTTCAGCTTACATGATATTAGCAGCAAGACCTCTGGCCTCCCAGGAAGTCCCTCCCCAGGGCCAGCTCCACAGGTATATGATCTGCTGTGTTGGGCAGTCCAGAATTAGGATCCTTAATTTTGTAAGGGGTCCGTGAGTTAAGGACAAAGAATCTTCTAAATATTCAGTCAAAAAACTACCAGATGTTATAATCTATGACTTACTGTATGGCCTTGGGTGAGATTCTTGACTTCTCCGTCTTGTTTATCTATAAAATAAGGTAATAATAATATTAGTTCCCTCATACATTTGTTTTTTGTTTGTTTGAGTGTTTCGTTTTGTTTTTTTTTTTTGTTTGTTTTTGTTTTTGTTTTTCAAGACAGGGTTTCTCTGTGTTGCTTTGGATTTTAACCTGGAACTCACTCTGTAGACCAGGCTGGCCTCCAACTCAGAGATCCACCTGCCTCTGCCCCCCCACCCCACCCCCCCGCGCTGGG